ATGATGAGAACTTTTCCTCTCAGTGCTAATGACCAAACCCTATCCCTCCCTGTCAAGGAGTTTTATCTACCACTTAGCTGTGCCTCCCCCTTGCAGCAGCGCCCCCACCATGGTTGGAAAGCCTATTACATGTATTTTAATCTTCCATCTCTAAAATTCACCTTGCTCTCAAACATATGGTCTGTCCTAGCTAAGATTTTTGGCTTGGTTATTTTTATGTACACCTCCATTGAATGTCTCATTCTGGTCATGAATTATTTTCTTGGTTACATTACATTATCTGCTTTATTTTGTATTTTTGAGTTCCCTTATGATTATTATTTAAAATTTCTTTAAGGTAATTCATAAATGTCCGTGAGGGGTTAGTAACAAGGGAATTCATGTACACTGTTTTTCTTTTTTTCTCCCCATGTACTTTGTTATCTACAATACTTGACTTACTTAGACTTACATAGTATCTTTTATATAGAAAGCTTCCATAAATTGATGGGGCATAAGGCATTATTGGCAGGGGACATTGTTTCCGGTCCTGAATGGGCTCAGCAGTATGGTTCCCAGGAAGGTTCTTCAGTGATGATCAGTATCCGTGTTGTATTCAAGACCCTTGGTGGCCTAGGCTGCAGAGGTTCCTGGCAGTATTTCTGGCAGTTTAGGACTTTCAGTGGCAAGGGCTTTTGTTGTCCCTCTGTTCTCTTTTTTCCCCACAATGTAAAGTTCTAACAGGGGTCTTGTGGAGGGGGCACTTTTTGATATTAGGCCTGACACAGCTTATATGCAGCCATAGTGGCACTGTGCTCCAAGGGACAGGTGGTCAGAGTGGCTGTGGATCTGGGGTCCTAGGCTCAGTAATTTGTTGAACTACTGTGGCATCCCTAAGGGGAGTTCATGTTCATCTGTAATGCAGCTCTCTCACTGGGCAAGGACTATGGCGCTGAAGAATTCCCCAGTAAACCCATCTGGGGGCAGAAGTACCCCAGTCTCTCTATAAACTTTAATTCTGGGGATTAAGACAACCAATGACATGGACTGAGCAAAACTGGAGTGCTTCAAAGGCATGAGGTTCAGGAAAGAGCAATGTAGTTAGGATCTGGGCCCCAGAATCAGTAGAGCAACAGCTTAGGCACTACTTACATACAGAAGACAAGATATAGCATGAGCCAGTTTCCGATTGCTACCTCCTACCCAGGGCTCCAGTTCCCAGGAGTATGGGCCATGGGTGTGTGCTCACACACAGGATGCCACACTGCTCTCCCTGCACAGGCACAAGTGCTTCATAGTGTCCCTGAACCGCAGAAGATAGTTTGCTATGTGTGCTAGGGTGCAAGCTTCAGGGGTGCTTCCCGATCTGCAGCTCTGCTCCCTAGAAACAAGGCCATAAATCGGTTCTGGCTGCCACAGATGGCATCTCCACCGTGATCCAGACCTAGAACACTCAGTGATGGAAGCAACTGGGATAGAAACAGTATGCCTCCGAGGTTTGCTTAGTCAAGAAATGATGTATTACCTACCGTGTGTGTAAACGAGACAGTGAAGTCTCCGTAATAAAGAGTGGAGTAGCCAGTGGCCTCAATAGCAGACCATGGTCTACTGTGATTCCCATTTGGAACAAGGCAATAAAATAGAAGCCTCACAGGGATCAGGGCACAATGGAGGCTCTTCTTCTAAAGAAGTGTCACCTGGGGAACTCTAAGCAGCTTCCTAAGCTTGGCCTAGTGTCACCGAGAGCAATGAGATGATCGGTAGTGGTGACTTTAGGTATCTGTGGCAGTGATGGTGATTTCTTACTTCCTTTATTCCATTCAGAAGTCTCCCTTGGTTTGAGCTGAGCCCACTTAGAAGTGGGGAAGCCAAAGCAAATGTGTTCTTTCTTTCTGTGGTCAGTCTGGCCTTCTGTGTCCCACCCAGTTTCTCTTTCCTTCAGTCATTGCGGTCAAAATGTAACTGTTCTCTTGTTGCTTGGGATTTTTTTCTATGTCGGGGATTAGACACCTCCTGATGACCATCATTCCTAAGTCCACGGGGTTCTTCCCTCCCCATGTCATACAGATCCCAGTCCTTTCACATTCCTGTGGCCCCTTTTGCCAGCATTCTTCTAAGCAAACATGTTCAGTGGCAGTGATGTTACCTGGAAACTTATTAACAACTCAGTATCTGATGTAGGAATCCCTTTTGTGTGCTGTAATTATCATTAATGAATAAAGAAACTGTCTTGGCCTGTTGATAGGGCAGAACTTAAGTAGGCAGGGAAGACAGAACTGAGTTCTGGGAGAAAGAAGGGTGGAGTCAGGGGATGCTATGGATCCTCCGCCACCAGAGATAGGCATGTTGAAACTTTGCTGGTAAGCCACAACCTTGTGGTGATATACAGTTTAATAGAAACTGGTTAAATTAAGGTGTAAGAATTAGCCAATAAGAAGCTTGAACTAATGGGTCAAGCAGTGATTTAATTAATTCAGTTTCTGTGTGATTATTTCAGTTCTGGGTGGTCAGGACGAACAAGCAGCTCTTTCCCCTGCAACAAGAATCTCTGTCTGTCTGTCTGTCTGTCTGTCTGTCTGTCTATCTATCTACCTACATACCTATCTCTCTCTATTTCTCTTTCTCGCTCTCTTTCACACATATACACACACACGCACGCGCACACACACACATGCACACACACACACAGTTATTGAATAAGAATTCGTATTTCAGCAAGATCCTCAGGTAGTTAGTATGTAAGATGAAGCCCAGAAGCCCAGCTCCACACAGAGCCAAAGCCTTCTGGACAAATACACACTGAACACAGAGGTAATCACCAAGCAACTCAGGAAACACAAAATGGAATCAATTGCTGGATGTTCTCTGGCCCTGTGACTGTAGGAGAGGGGTCTGAGAACACGGAATTGATTTACAGCATCATCTGGCACTAACCTGATGAAAGCCAACTTGTCTTCCTCTGAATTGATATAATTACCAACATGAGGGAAAGCAGCTCCTTTCTGCAGGTCAAGTAAGCTTGTTATTTATCAGCCTGGGCTAGCTCGGCTTCTGATTAGCAATTTATTCTGGGTAGATAGGTATTGACTGACCCAACTTCACTCCTGGTGCTTCATTTTGTTCCCGCTGGTGATGATTATTTAGTGATGGATAAAACATGGATGTTGCTGTGCATATCTGCACTTTGTTCATGCTTTCCTGTTTCCTAGTTTTCTTACCCCAGACAGGGTATGACTGTTCCTCACAATGCCAGGCAAAAGCACACTTAACAGATGAATTTTGTCTTGAGCCATTGCTAGCACTGTTCATCTCAATTGACTATCTCGTGACCTAAAAACAAAATTGTTCTAGCTGTGTTGGACTCTCCTCAGTTACAGAGAGAGCACATGTCTTCCTGCTATACTCATCCTATATTGTAATCCAGGCACAAGCAGCCGACGCTGTGCTATCACCAGCTCAGAAGTCATGTTTAGAATTTGTTCCAAAGACGCTTATTTGAACTTTGGATGTATCAAGTACAAAACGATGCCTTCAGTGGTTCCCAAGCTAGACCCCAAGAATGGGAAGTTATTTTCTTACCAGACCACTAAGTAACTCTGGCTCAATGAATCCAAATGGGTTTTTCATTAACCTAAGCTGGTGCTCGGGGAAGGGTTTGAATCGAATAATTGAAAATACACATTCTGAGTTGTGCATCCTCTAAAGAACTTTAAAGGTGAGTGCCTTTATTTCTTCGGAGTGATTTTTCTAATTAAGACTTCTAGTTTCCTTTTATCCTAAAAGACACGCAGGAATATTTTAATTCCTACAGTTGCTTTCCACAGATACAATCGTTCTGTGGCTCGCAGGTAATAAGAAGAGAGAAGAAAAATAAATGAGACACGTTTACAGAGGGGGGCGGGGAAGAGGGAAGTTGCACATGACTGCAAGCCTTGTGGTTCTCCTGGTCTAGAAGAGAGTTAAGGGTCACGCTGATACAGGAGTGACAGACGGCTTGAAGCAGGAGCCCAGACAAACGACTGCAGACAGGAAACATACACCGTTCAATTACCATATTTTCTCTCAGGCAGCCATTTTCTAGTGTGGCAACTTTCCCCCAGGGCACATTTTGGTTTGCAGAACTAGTGGGAGTTACTTCTGGCATTTGGGAGATTAGAGTCAGAAATAATGTTTGAAATTCTACATGAGCCTGCACACTCCAGCCTCACCCCCCCCCCCCATTCTCCTACTCTCTGCTCCGGCTTCCTCCTGGCTTCTCACACACATCAGGTCTACTTCCTCATGCCCTTTTAGCCTACTCTTTCCCACGCTTTTCTCTCAGAGTCAAGTGCTTTGCACCTTCATACTCAGTCAGGATTTGGTCAAATAGCATCCTTTCTGGTGGGCCTTCTGTAACCTTCTTCTGTGAAATGTAACCCTGTGTTGGACCTCCATCCTCCCTAGCCTTGTTTTCTATTTAATTTTTCTTCATAACACCCAGGACCTTCTGACAGCAGAGTGTGTATTTTACTTAATTCTTTTTGTTTTGCGGGTTCACTAAAATGACTCCTTCATGAAAACAGTACTTTTTTTTATCTGTCCATCCACTGCTAATCTTTAGCTCCTACAGCACAGCCCAATATTCTAGATGTTTTGTACATATTCTTGGACGAATCAATCCATCAAGGAAAAGAGCAATATAGATTATAATTGAAAGTTAAGTTATATCAAGTGAAAAAATATACACAATTAAAGATTTATAAAGAATGAGTTTCTGATATTGATACCGGGCTGGTGAGATGGCTCAGTGGTTATGAACTCACACTGCTTTTGCAGAGGACCTGGGTTCTATTGCTAGCAAAAACCTGTGTCTCCAGTTTCAGAGAGTTTGAAACCTTCTGCTTTCCTCTGTGGACTCCCACACTCATGGGCCCAAACCCACTCTCTCACGCACATATACAAACACAAAATTAAAAATAATTTTAAAAATTATAAAACCTGGATACATGTTACTGCCTTTATTTCTGTTCCCGCGCTGAAACACCATGAACAAGGCAACCTATAGAGCAGACTGTTTGTTTGGGTTTATGGTAGCAGAGGCCTAAGAGTCCATCGTGGCCCGGCAGCATAGCAGCAAGCAGCAGGTATGACGGCAGGGACCGAAAGCGAAGAGCTCACATCTAGATCAGTAGCCATGACGTGGAGGAAGTAAACAGGAAGCGGGGCAGGACAATCAATACTCAGAGCCTCCCTCCAGTGACGTATCTCCTTCAGCAAGAACACACCTTCTAAAATCCCCCAAACAGTGCCACCCTGAGGATCAAGGCTGTTCTCACTGAAACGGCTCCACGGCTGGCCCGTTAGAGATGCTCTTTTATTGTCATTGTTTGTAAGTACAGAAGAGGAATGTACTGGATACTCTCAAGTGTAGGGTAGAACATCTCATTATGATGGAGCAGTGAGTGCTAGGCAACCGCTGTACACACTGTCACCTACAGTCACAGATGACATAGGGAACTTCTAAGTGAAGAAGGAAGATCTCATGCTGAGAGGTCACGTAAAGGGACATCTGTTCGTGTGTCTCACCCAGAGAGGCTTGGAAAGTGATTTGCCTGAATTTTGGTGAGAGTAACGCAGGCATTTGTACATCTTCAAGCTCATTAAAGGGCACACACTGAATGTGTGCAGCTCGTTGTTAAGCAGTTATATCACTGTGATATGAAAGGTAAAGGGAAAGATGTTGGCTTTACAGAGGCAGAGCTGTGGAAACAATAGGAAAACCAGTATCTCTTTAGCACTTTGCTGTGTGAAGGAAGACTTCGCTGGGCGGAGCAAGGAAGAGGAGACACTTCATCCAAGCTGAGCATTGCTCTCTGTGGACTCCTGCTCTCTCAGAATGAGAAGACAAAACCCAGAATTAGAAACGAAGAGAGTTGAGGTTTCTTGCAAGACTGGAAAAGAAAAATGACCCTACAGAGCCCGTGAGTCTCTTTTATTAGGATACAACCATAAGGTTTTGGCTCCTCCTGGCAGTTTTTAACATTCTATTGTTAAAAATAGGGCCTCACATTCCCCCTCAAACAAGCTTTTGACTCATACAAGTGATTGTAAATGACCTACAGAAGGGAATTCTCTAAGCCTGACAGAAAATTATGCTCTGAGTCATAAATCAACAACCAGTAGTCAATAACCTAGGCCAGTTGATTGGTTGATTGATTGATTAATAAGTCGATTGGAGACACGACATTGTTCTATATCTCTACATAGCCTGGAACTTTTACGTAGACCTGGCTGGCCTGAAAGTTGCAGCAATATTCCTAGTTCTGCTTCCCAAGGCCTAGAGCTACAGCTGTCTGCCAGCGTAGCCTGCCCCTATTTAATTGTCTTAAGCATATGTATCTTCCAGTCCTGCCCTATCCTATGTCTTATTTCAATGTCTTTTCTGAGACTGAGGAGATAGTTCAATGGCTAAGAGCACTTGTTGCTCTTCCAGAGGACCTGAATACACTATCCAGCACTATTGTTAGGTGGCTCACAACAGCCTGCAACTCGTTAAATAACCTTATTCCTTCCTCTAGCTTCTACAGGCATCCACACACTCCTGACATGCACACACAGACACATGCCCAAGATTAAAATATTTTTTTAATTTATAAGCATTTATAAATATGTGTTCCCCCAATTCTATTTCCTCGATACCTGAGGAATCCCCTGAAGGTCAGAGTCACTCAACCACCTAGCTCCGGAGCTGCTATAAACTCGTGGCTTCATACCAGAACATTACTCAAAATCCTTCCCGGAAAGAGGCTGCCACCTGTGGAAAACCGCAACTATGAATAACTCTGCGGTGCTTGCGTAGAAATGATGTGTAGCATCAAGAAGACCGGCGCAGAAGACGTAGAACAACACATGATAGAGGGCTAGACAGGTGGGAGTGATTAAAATGGTTTTTCAAGTGTGAAAGGGATGTTGCTCAGTCAAAAGCAAAGACAAATCTTCCAGAAACCAGTAGCAATGTCCTTCACTCAGCCCTCAAGAAGTGATGACAGGGACGTGTCAAGTCCCCACAGGGCAGTGATAGCTGCTGTCTTAAGGATATTTTATCCCGGAGTGCTGCAGGTGGGGACAGATCACTGATAGCTGATTTGCTTTGTAAAAAAAAAAAAAAAAAAAAAAAAAAAAAAAAAAAAGTGTAATTTGAACATTTTCAGGGCCTAAGACAAGAGTATAAATGGAAACCCACAGACCATATGTTTTCTTTTGCCATATTAACAAATAGTCATTCTCATTTTTGGAAGCTGAAATTTGCCCCAGAATATGGCATCAGAACATGGCATCTAGTACAACCAACCCCAGGCTCTGGCCCTGAACTGCCCTCTCTACTCTCAATAGTCATTGTTATTCAACACTTCTATATTATGTATGGTTTTTACCTTTTGTTAACTTGACACAAACCTAGATATATCTGAGAAGAAGGAATCCCAAGTTAGAAATTTCCTCCATCAGATTGGCCTGCAGGAAAATCTATGGATCATTTTCTTGATTAGTGATTGATATGGAAGGGCCCAGTTCCTTGTGAGTAGGGCCACCCCTGGACAGGTGCTTGTCCAAGAAGGCTGAGCAAGCCTTTGGAGCAAGTCAGTAAGCAACATTCTTCCAGGGCCTCTGCTTTGGTTCCTGCCCTGATTCCCTTCTTGATGGACTGTAAGCTGTACCAGAAATATCCTCTTTCATCCCCAAGTTATTTTGGTTATGGTATTTTATCACAGCAATAAAAAGCAAACTAGGATGCTACACAAATGGTTCTTCTAAACTGCTACCAAATACTGTTGAATAGAAAGAGTTCTACTGAGAGAGAACACAATGGCTATTGAAAGTGGTGCTAGTGGTTCTCCTCCTTGCTTTTCTTTTGGGGCAGGAATGGTACAAGTCCTTTTACATAATTCTCTTTCCTAAAACATGGTGAACCAAATTAATTCTATAGAGATAGATGATAGATAGAGAGAGAGATGGATGATAGGATAGATAGATAGATAGATAGATAGATAGATAGATAGATAGATGATAGATAGATGATTGATAGATAGATAGATAGATAGATAGAT